TGAACCAGGAAGACCGGAGCGGAATCGAGCATGTGAACTGCGGTGCTGGAGAAGAATATTGAAAGTACTGTGGACTGCCCAAAGGGCCAGCAAGTCTGTCTTGGAAGAAGGAAAAGCCAGAATGCTCCTTAGATGCAAGGATGCCCTAATAAAGTGATTTTAAAAATGCAAGGATGGCAAGACTTTGTCCCTTGTACTTTGGACGTGTTATCTGGAGAGACCACCCCTCGAGGACACCTTGCTTGGCAAAGCAGCGGGGCAGCAACAAGAGGAAGGCTCCAGACAAGACGGACTGATACAGAGGCCCCAGCCCGGAGCTCAAACAAGAACGAGTGTGAGGATGACAGGACCTGGCAGCGTTGAACTCTGCTGTGCGGAGGGTGGCTATAGGTCAGAGCCTGCTAGAGAGCACCTCGCAGCAGCAGCAAGAGGGTGTGGCCTGCTCCTTGTTAAACAGTCTTGGGGAAGACAGATCCCTTCTACTGGACCTGCGTCTCCCATCACTTCATAGGGCTTGCCGGTCCCAGGGGCCGTCAGCAGACTGTTGACCTTGGATTCATTCAACTCTGCGTCCACCAGCCTGTGGCCTTCTGCTTGCTGGTTCCTGCAGGTACAGGAGTCAGGAGCTGCCTCCAGCTTACCCTCTGACCCACAGACTTGAACTGGACTGGACAACTGTGTGACCATCTCTTGAAATAAATCTCTTTCTGTCTACATGCACATACAAGCATCACTGTCTTTGTTTCTCTAGAGAACCCGGCCTAGCACACTCAGGAAGGACCAGTCCCTGGGAAAGACATCCTGCTTGGTAAAGTAGAGGGGTCTGAGAAAAGGAGAAGACTTTAAATCAGGTGTATTTCCAACAATTGTGAGGCTGGCCAAGGACCAGGCAGTGTTTTGTGTTCTTGACCACCGGGTCTCTGAGTGACCGCTGACTTGATGGCACCTAGCAACAGGACAACCTAGACACAGAGACAAGACAGGACAATCAAGGGGAGGCAGAGAGCACACGACGACCAGGAAGCAGCTTAGGGTTGCCTCAGGGCTGGGGAAACCAGACAAGGATCCCCCCCAGCCCACCCCCCAGCGAACAGAAAAGATAAACTCTCCCTGGACCCCGAGGTTAATTTCAGGTTTTTCACCTCCTGATCCATGAGAAGGTAAACAGCTGTCCTCTCAGGTAGCCCACCTGTGGGCCTTACAGCTCATTCCCTCCCTCGCTGTCACAAAGTCTAGTCCAACTTCTAGCGCTCCTTTGGGGCAGAATAGAGCTGCTCCTGTGGGTTCTGAGGCTGTAGCTCTCACTCAAGTAGAAAAGCCTCGTCCTTCTGCTACAGATCGGTTGGTGGGTTTGAACTGCTGATTACGAGCAGCCCAATGCAGAAACCACCACGCCACCACAGATTTTGTGTGTTACAACAGCACCCAACACAAAGCTGGCCTCTTACCACACATGTTTGCGTGTCTGCCTCTCCATGTGACTTAGTGTGTCACGGCAACATGGGTAACAGGACAGAGGGACAGGCATGAAACAACAGTTGTCAGCAAGGGGCCAGTTAAGAGGCCCCTTACGTGCGGGTCCATGCAGCAGAATCAGACTCACTCTGCACGCTGTGCCAACATCCGTCTGAGGGAGAACCCCGAGTTCATTGTTGAACCTGGAGCTGTGCGCAGGAGGATTCAATGCTACAGGGCTTCCTGCGTGAAGCTCGGAGTGACTTGCAGGTGACCTGTGAGATATGCTAGCAATGAGGGCCGCCGCGGGCCAGGCACGCAGCTGGCTGGCTTCCAGGGTGCACACAGAGCCCTGTTTACACGGGACCAGTCTATTCACCGGTGAGTCAGCTTTATGAAGGAACTTGAACATTTCCCAACACATGACACAGAGTCCCAAAGTGACTGCCTGTGGTGAGGAGGAGGCCTTGCTGGACCCAGGCTGCCACAAACCCCAGTGTGCAGAGCCACAGTCCCTGTGAAGCATTTGCAAGGAAATCGCATAAAGCAAGGCTGGCCTTTCTGCCCAGCACGGAGCCCGTTCCCGTCAGGGTACGAGGCAGGTCTGCATGTCTGAGTCATCAGCCCCCAGTATAGGTTTCCATGGTGAGTGCGTGTGACCACCACTGCTTGGTGTCAACTGGCTGGGCCAGAATTCAAGGGTGTGAGAGCTAAGATGTTGTGATGCCCCAGGATGAGATCTCAGAAGGGGGAGCAGATTCTAGTACAAAGAGACACGGTGGGAGAGCGGGCTTGCTTTCTGCTGCGTGTGGATCCTGCGTGTGGTGCCTCATCCCCCTTAGACTTAAACCAGCAGCCTGCTGTGCTGTCTGCCGATCCTGGGAGCTGTCGGCAGTTTTACCATCTTACCTGCTGACCTTTGATTCTTTCACCTTGGCAGCTGGCAGCCAGTTGTCATCTGACACGCCATGTTGGGTCCATCAGCCCTTGACGGTCACTACACAAGCAAAGCAAAGCCACAGCCTGACATCTGACCTCACACTCCGAGCTTGTCTGCCTCTGCAACTGTGTCATGTCCTGTGTCTGTGCATATATACATGCGTCACTGGTTTGCGGCTCCAGAAAACCGAACCTGAGCTCATAGGTGGGTTCAATGAGGTGCCACCAGCGCCAGGGCTAGACCCACCTTCTTCCTGTCAGCCACTCTGTGCTTTGTTGGGTGTTTAGCAGCCGCCCTGGGCTCTGCCCATGAGGTGCCAGGAGTGGTGGCCCCTGCATTGGTTGCAACTACCAACATTGTACCCAGGCATTGCAACATGACCCCTGGGGAGCAGCCCCCCTGGGTGGGGACACTCACCAAAGAGTGGATGGTTCACTGGGGGAATCATCCTCCCGTGCCCCAGACCCAGTTTCGCCCCCACCACGGCACCTCGCACACAGCCATCAGCATCAGCTCGGGGGTTCATGCGGCTGAGATCCGTGAAGTGCTCAGCAGGTTTCACGGAGCCTCCAGACTCAGAGGCACTAGGAAGAGAGACCTACACTCTACTTCAAGAGAGCACCCGATGGTGGGAGGGGCAGGGGCACGGAGGTGCATGGGATCATGGTGAGTCAGGGCTGCCCTTCCAGCCACAGAGCAAGACCCAGGCTGTGCAGGTGGCCTGACTTTACAGCCCGGATGGCAGGCTGCTGGTTGACAGTGGAGTGGCTACCTGCTGGGTAAAAACGGGTAAATTGGTGGTCCTATGCTTTTAACCGATCGATCTGAATGCAAAGCAAACTTTATGGAGACCTGAGTTCAGCTGGAAGTCCTGACTGTGGCTGGTCCCAGGCTGTCCCTCGACCCTAACCACACCCTGGAATGCTGCCGCTCTCCTGCCATGCCCAGCACCCCCAAAGGGGCACGATGATGCCCTGCCCACCAGCCCTCCTGAGCTGTGGAAGCCCAACTGGCTAAAAAGTGGATGAAAACAACGTCAAGCCCTGAGACGGAAAACCACGCCCCCTGCCCCCTCTCGCCCCCAGCACCCCACCCCCCGCACCCCAACTCCCACGTCTTGGCTCTCCACGTGCGCCCGAGGGAAACGTGAGCATGGCTCTCTCAGTGAGCATGGCCGCCTCACTTCAGAGGGGGGCGCAGGGACTGACTGGGCCGCTGAGTGGTCACCCTGCCGAGAAACCCAGGGGCCCTGTCCTTGGGGAGCCCACCTGCCACCACAGCCTGGATGGTTCCAGGGATCCAGTGTCTCCTGCAGCTGCGGCGGGTCCACAGCGGCCCTGGGCGTAGTCCAGTCAATGCCCCTCCATCTTTCTGATGGGCAGTTATCGACAAGCCAGACAATGCTGGTGCTGGCCTGCGTGCACTCTGACAAGCCTGAGTCTGGAATCGTCCAACACGCAGGCTCGGAAGACGCCTGCCCTCCTGTCACCGTATGAATCGGAGATGTCCCCCGGGGACAAATGGTCTGAACTCCTTCTAAGAGCCATTGTCTCAGAAACAGCAAGTCTGTCCGTAATCCTTGTCCAGGGGTGGCGTGTCAGCGCGATGGCCCGTGGCTGTGACTGGCACTCCCAGATGACCAACATGCCCGCGGGCTTCCCCTGCACACCCCAAGCACAGGCACACTCATGCGGAGGGCAAGTCAGAGGGGCCTGAGTGACTGGTCCACACACACACCCTGCGAGCGTGCACACACAAACACACAGAACAGCCAGGGTTCAGACCGAGCTGTGTGAATAACCCCAAACAGTCCAAACACAGGAGGGGCCCAGAGGCATCCCCCCCGTCTTCCTACTGTGCAATCACAGACAAGGTACCACCTTGTGCACCACCATGTGCACCACGAGCCGGGGGTCAAGAACCCAGAGCCTCCCCGAGAACCCAACAAGGGGCAACATCACTCCTGCCTCCGAGGGTGCCCAGACCGATGCACCCCTGCTGGGAGGACACAGCTTGACTCAGGCCCTCCGACTCTGGCCACTGGGAGCCCGCCTGCTCCCACCACAAAGGTCCTGGCCATAGGGGAGGCTCGGCCACTGGGAGGCAGACTCAAGTGGACAGCACAGCCCCTCAGGACACCCCTGAGATTGAACATCCCTGCTCCTGAGCCACTTATCCATGCACCAGAAAGCCCAGGAGTGGACCCCAGATGTTAAATGAGCTGATGGAGCCCATGGTAGCTCCCGCTGGGTACTACCAGGTCACATGAGCTCCTGAGGGGCTCAGGCTGGGTCCTCAGCCCCAGGAGCACAGGGTTGAGCCAGGTGTGCACAGGTGCCTGGCTCCGCGTGCACAGGGCCCACTGCACAGAGCTTGCCCTGCAGGCCAGACCAAGAGACTCTTGAGGCCCATGTCCTTTGTCCACACAGAAACACTGGGCTCGGCCAGATGGCAGAACTTGGTGGCTGAGAATACAAGCCTGGCTCACGGGAAGCAGGCACAGGTGGGCAATAAGAGGGTCAGACATCCTCACAGAATGGCTCAGGCTGGGATGCCCCACCTGACCCCAAGCCAACAGGTATCGACACAGCATGCAGGCACTTACCTGAGAAGGGGATGCTCCTCAGGGGTATCTTGATGGGCGCCAAGGTCAGGACGTGGCAGGGCTGGACGCTAGCAGGAGACAGACTCCGGAGCCCCTCTGAGTCCGCCGAGACCAGGGTGGCAGCTGCAGCTGCAATAGTGATGGCGGGGCCGCTGCGGGCCGGCTTCAGGCTGCCGAGGCCCCCACCTACAGAGGGCAACAGGGAGGTTCAGGTCAAGGGCTCCTGGGGGGCAGCCACCCACGTCCTCACACACACTGCCCAGCTGCCTCTGGGCCACTCAGCCTGGAGGGCTGCGGGCCCCTTGTGTCTCTACAGAGGTTCTGACTCTGGTTGCTGGCAGAGGTTGCTGACCACTGGCCATGTGGCAGTGCCTTCTTGGACACCCCCGTGGCCTCCTGCTGATGGACTCCCGCCCCAGATGCTTGGTCTTTGTCTGATGCAGGCTTCCTAACGGGGCCGCTCTAAAGTATTCTCGCATTTGGGGTCTTCTTCCCATAAAACAACAAGCCTCAAGTTCAGAACACAAGAGTGGATTTACGTCCATTGGCTGAAAGCTTGTACTTTAAGCTGGCCTGCACACACACACACACATGCATACACATGCATACACATGCACACACATGCACACATAGAGACACATGCACACACGCAAACATACAGGCACATGGATGCTCTCACGCACAGACACACACATGCACGCGCGCGCGCGCGCACACAGTGCTGAGGGCTGCACATGGCATCCCTGAGCATGCATTGCAGGAAGGAAGAGGAGTGCAGATTGTCGGTGCTCAGCTGCACTCTGAGAGGCTGAGGGTTCCAGTCTGCCCAGGGCAGCACGGAGGGAAGTCTTGGGGAGGCCCTTCCCTGGGAGCAGGCCCGGAGACCCTGTGGAGCACAGGGCTGCCTCAGCTCGGACTCTGCTGGTGTTGCTTTGCCAGAGACACCATCCAAATGACCTTGGACACTGGCAGGGCCACAGGAGGGACCGGCGGTGGGATGGCGGTGAGAGCTTGGGAGCCGGAGCATGTCTCTGAGATGGGCAGCCCTGACACCCACCCCCCACAGTCACGGAGAAGCCCCGAGCAGTGGCTGTCCCCGGCCCTGCCTGCAGGCCTGCAGCTCCAGTTCTGCCTCTCTAGCCAGCTGCACCCCCTCCATGCAAGGTCCCCTGCAGCCCTGGGACCCAAGGCCACTCACCCTGCACCCCTGGGGCCCAAGGAAGGAGTGTATAGGACCTCCAGGGGAAGTAAGGGGGTACTTGCTCCCCTTCCAACCCTCATAAGATAAAGATGCTGCAGGGCATCTGACATACAGATGGACACCCGTTCCTCGACTCAGCCCCCCCCCCCCCCCCCTCACATAGGTCCACAAAGATGGAAATTCCCAGGGAGAGTGGAGACAGGGCCACCTCCCAGGGCCTCTCCTTCCCGGTGCTGCTGGGTGCCTCTGGCCACCCACCAAGAGAGCAAACAAGAATGCAGACTTCCCAAAGACCTTTAGTGCCAGCACGTCAACCAGGGCGAACGTCCCCGGGAGGCTTGCTGGTGGGATGGGGGCTCAGGAAGAGCCCCTCATTCTTCATGAGCACACCCCTAACCCAGGCTGTGGTGACTGTTCCTTAAAATGACCCGCCCGGCCCTCAGCAATTTGGGAACATAAACTCGGAGACTTGAGGCATGGTTTGAATCGATGACCTTCTAGCAAGGAGAGGAAAGTAAGGCCTTTTACCAGAACCAGTCTCAAGGAGAGGCGGTGCAGCTGGGAGCTGCAGAAGCTTTTATCACCACGAGAGCATGGTGGGAAGGAAAATAAAACCTCCTAACGTGGGAATGGTGATATAAGAGAGCCGAGCAGAAATGTGTAAAGGGCAGCTTGAGTATTATGATCAAATGTGTAAAGATCTGGGATTAGAAATCCAAAATTGAAGAACTCTCTCAGCACCAGTGAAGCTGAAAGAAAGGAGAGGGAAAAGGCAAGGCTCGGGTTACAGAATTGAAGGATGCTGTGGACCAATAGGAAACACCCAAAGATGGCGGGGAGGAATACACAGAGTCGGGGGAGCAGGGGGAGCAGGCTGACAGCGCCATGTCCAGCGGCCACATAGGCGCGAGAAGCAATCGCACAGAAGGAAGAGGCTCATCAGCCACGAGCAAAGCTCCCAGCACCGAAGGACTGGCCACCGAGGTGTTTCAGCCGCCAGTGCAGCGCCGGAAGCACTCACTTGTCTGTGCCGAGAAGCTTGGAAGACCTGGCCGCTGACTGACCAGCGAAAACCAAGGAGAGACCTGGTTTAAACCAGGAAAGGCCTCCGACAGGGCTGTACCCTCTCACCAGACTTATTCAATCTGGATGCTGAGCCCGGAATCAAGAAGCGGGACCCCAGGGAGAAGCATGCGGGATCAGGAGGGTAGGCTCTTTAGTCACCTGGGATAGGTCGATGGCACCACCTTGGGATGCCACCTGGGATGGGTCGATGGCACCACCTTGGGATGCCACCTGGGATAGGTAGATGGCACCACCTTGGGATGCCACCTGGGATGGGTAGATGGCACCACCTTGGGATGACACCTGGGATGGGTAGATGGCACCACCTTGGGATGGCACCTGGGATGGGTAGATGACACCACCTTGGGATGGCACTGGGATGGGTAGATGGCACCACCTTGGGATGCCACCTGGGATAGGTAGATGGCACCACCTTGGGATGGCACCTGGGATAGGTAGATGGCACCACCTTGGGATGGCACCTGGGATGGGTAGATGACACCACCTTGGGATGGCACTGGGATGGGTAGATGGCACCACCTTGCCTGCTGAGGGCAAGGAGGACTTGGGCTTTGGGATGGAGATCAAGGAACGCAGCCTTCAGGACGGATTACAACTCAATGCCCAGAACACCCACTCCTCACTGCTGCACCAACAGACCACATCCTCATGGAGGGGAAAGGCTGGAGTTCTCTCGGCGGCGCAACCAGATGGCACATCGCGCTGAGAAGGATGGCCACACAGGCCTGTGCAGCATGCTAAAGAGCCATGGAGTCCCTTTGAGGAACCCCAGCCATCTTCAATCGCCTCCCACGCTGTCCAAAGCTGGACAGTGACGAAGGAAGACTGTGGAGGACCGAGGATGTGTCTGGCGCCGGGTGCCGGGAAGAATATTGGAGTACTGCTGACTGACAGAAGCCCAGAGGAGCTATCTCGAGAGCGATACAGC